GGGTGACAAGCATTTTCTTTGGACATGAGGTGAGTGGTTTGACATGCTATTTATTTTCTCCGTATCCCTAAAACATTTAAAAAAATGATACATAATACTTGTTCTTTACTACCTTCACAATAATGCTTACTAGCATACGATTCTCCTTACTTTGATGAATTCTTTTGTGAAGTATTGTGACTCAATCGCTTGTTTTTATGGTGAGACTTAGTGATGGTGAATGGGACCAAAATTAAATGTACGGAAAAATTATTTCTCTGTATGCGGGTGACCCTGGCCACTAGGGAACAGACCCGGCAGAGGCTGAGGTGACCCTAGTGCTCAACGGTTGAAGGAACAGTGCCTGGTGTGTACTGGTGACCTTCACCGGATCGTCTTAGGGAACAGTTCCCAGGCGGCAACCTGTGGTGACCCTAAGTACAATGTTGGATCCAACCTTGAGATCTTTGGCATTTGGTATGGTTCTCAAATATCGTACAAGTTCTTATCTATCGTATGCCATACGTATTTTCTTGTATTTGGTATTTAGTTTCCATCAATTATTGGATATTGTACAGTCTCCACCATTATGATATGATTCACCATTGTGGTATGATTTTTGTTGGAATCGGATTGTGTTATTCTTGAGAAATTGACTATCTTGATGAAGTTATTTTTTCAAATCTTTGATTTACATGTCATATGCCAAATATATTTTTCAACCACCTTGAATATGCATGCATTTCCATTCACTGGGCTTTTTAGCTCATGCTTTTAAAATAATATTTTTTTAGATAAACGATTGGAGTGTCAATAGTGGACTCAGGGAATTGATTGGAGACTAATAGTGTGGTGACCTCCGTAGCATATACCATATTGCCCTCTTTACTTGTTTGGAAAATTGGACAAACAGATTTAGGTATGTTGACTTTGATATATTGACCTAAGATGAATTTAGCGTTTTAATGTTATTTTTCACTCCTATATTATTAGTTAGGCTTACGTGTTTCATAGGTTATGGATCTATGGTTCACGGCTGGCCATGCCCTTGGAGTTGGGGTGTGACAAGAGTGGTATTAGAGCCTAGGTTGCGACACACATTTGGGCATTTATAGCCGTGTCATCTTTATAGAGGAAGTTAAGGTTCCTTGAGTCCTTTTGGTCATATAAGTTGAAAAAATATACTTGATGGTGTGGAGTGAAGATGTTAGAAGATAATATGTTTATTAGAGTGTTAAGGACGAGCATTGCTCCTGGCATCCAATAGAGTCTTTTCTCCTAAGTATNTTCAACGGTTGAAGGAACAGTGCCTGGTGTGTACTGGTGACCTTCACTGGATCGTCTTAGGGAACAGTTCCCAGGCGGCAACCTGTGGTGACCCTAAGTACAATGTTGGATCCAACCTTGAGATCTTTGGCATTTGGTATGGTTCTCAAATATCGTACAAGTTCTTATCTATCGTATGCCATACGTATTTTCTTGTATTTGGTATTTAGTTTCCATCAATTATTGGATATTGTACAGTCTCCACCATTATGATATGATTCACCATTGTGGTATGATTTTTGTTGGAATCGGATTGTGTTATTCTTGAGAAATTGACTATCTTGATGAAGTTATTTTTTCAAATCTTTGATTTACATGTCGTATGCCAAATATATTTTTCAACCACCTTGAATATGCATGCATTTCCATTCACTGGGCTTTTTAGCTCATGTTTTTAAAATAATATTTTTTTAGATAAACGATTGGAGTGTCAATAGTGGACTCAGGGAATTGATTGGAGACTAATAGTGTGGTGACCTCCGTAGCATATATCATATTGCCCTCTTTACTTGTTTGGATAATTGGACAAACAGATTTAGGTATGTTGACTTTGATATATTGACCTAAGATGAATTTAGCGTTTTAATGTTATTTT